TGATCCAACAAATCACTAACCCTTGCGGGGAAGTGTGTGTTGTTGGTAGGAACTCACCCGAACGTGAGAATTCTATCGTGTCCTACACGACATCTGGGCCTGACACGTAGCGGAGGATCGAGGCGTTCCAGCACCACGTCGCGACCTTCCAAAACGCGATCCACGTCTGGGACCAAGCGTAAGGCGTCTCAGCAGCCCAACTCTGGTCACGCGGGCGGCGCCCGCAAATTGGAGTTTGATATCACGGAGGAGAGGCAGATGCGCCCCAAGGAGCATTGTCCCCGAGACGACCTCCCTTGCTGTCCTGACACGGACCTAGACTCAGCGATGGAGGTTGACGCACTGAAGCGAGTTCCGGCCGGTTTACTCTGGGACGACCTTCGACAAGACGTCCCTATGTTAATGCTCACAGGTCTTACGTACGAGGACGCCCTACAACTGTTGCGTGGGGTGAACCTATCCACCACCTCCTGCCTGGATATATGGTGCAGCTGATGTTGGCTCAGATGATTGACGGGGGAACTTTGGATTTCACACCCTCGATCAAATATGTGCCCGAGTCAAACAATCTGGATGCAGAGAGAATCTGGACCGGGATCCGAATTATGGATGGTCGCGGGTTGGAGAAATTGGACAAGTACGATCAACAGCTTCAGAAACTTAAAGAAGTGGCCGCGGTGTTTGACTTGATCAACGGCGCCCTCTCTGAGTCTTCGGACGATGAGACGCAAGACCCCTCTTTTTCTCTAAACCCAGCTGCGGAGGAGGCGGATAACGCTCTGGAGGCTCGGGACGAGACTGAAGATTTGGACGATGGCACGGACGAAGTGCCTACAAACACTAATGATGCTGGTCCTAAAACTACCAGTCAAGTGAGTTCTGGAACGCGACGCCTTCGCCGACCTCTGCCAAGAAGTCCAAGGCGACATCTAGAACCCCAGACACCACGGTCGTCAAGAGAATCAAGACAAACACCGGTCGCGCCAAAGGGGCGCGTCATCAAACAGACTTGGCCATTCGCGACTTCCAGTCCCTGAGTGAAGACGAGCTGCTGATCATCGAGATCTGCGACCGGGACGTTACCAGCACTTTCCGAATCTTCGGAATCAAGATGAAATTCTCTGACAAGATCCAGACTATCGGCTTCCCAGACTACGAGCCACACAAGCATGAGACCAAGTATCTCAAGGATCGTTGGTCGATGGAGGCATGTGATAAGTTCTTGGGCGTCGTTTGAGTGAAGAAGTCTGGAACTAAGGGGTACCGTGGGGTCACATCAAGACGCAACTCGTCTGAGGCAGATGCGTACGGTTCGGGTTCAGACCCCAATGCGTGGGAGTCGAAGATTTTCGACTTTGTACTCCCCTGGGTCCAAATGTTTGAGGGCTGCTCCAAAGAGTTCTACTTCAACCATGCCCATGACTTGAGCAAAGGAATCTTGCGTGGGATCAAAGAATACTTGGAGTCCATGGAAGAACATGCTGAAGGTTGGTGGTACATATTGCACTGGTTCACGATCTCCATGGAGGACGACCGAGCGAAGGAAATTTATCTGTGACGTCGCAAGTGTCTGGAGACGCTGGTGCGGATTTTGCTCATCCTAGTTTGGAGAAGATCGACAAGTTCCCTAAGATGCTCTGGTACGACCCTGGCTTGTGGATTCTTCCCAACACCATATGCTACAGGATCTTCAAGGATCGCTCGGTGAACTTCCGAACCATGTCTGGGGTCGCCGACTTGCGCGCAGAACTCCTGGAGTTGGACGAACGAGAACCTGCGCGCACACTCTGAGCAGATGCTGCGAGTGAAACTGCGCGTCTGGAACACGTACCAGAGGCGTTCGTTTCTAAACGTCTACTCCCGAGGTTCAAGCGGGCCAGAAACCTGCTGCCAATTCCAGGACCCCCTCCACTTCGAAGCCAAGGACTACGAACGAATTATATCAGCTCCGTCTCGTCCAAGATGCTACGTTAGCAAGGTCCAACTCCGACTGAGTTTCTGACTCGGGCCACTTAGTGCACCTCAGGCTCGGCCTTCAGTGCCCATGCATATCGTAGCGTATCCATCTAATTAAATAATCAAATGTTGATGTCTCACCTTGCTCTGTTCTCGTCAAAGGCACATTAACGCGGGGCAGACTACCCAACAAGTCTCCATTCCATACGCGTCACCCATACCGAACCCTGGAACCACATTGTCTAGCCAAGTATTCGCACGCGACCACTCGGTCACTCTAACAACGTGTGAATTCTCCGGGCTGAGATACCTAAGTGTACGGACCAGACTCGATTTCTCTGGATCGGGGCCTATAGCTCCGCGTAGTCATAATTCCCAGACTACATGGCTGCGAAACGGGCTTTTGCACGTACGGACTGGTTGAACTTGTATAAAAGGGAGCCACAATTTAGTTGTGAGACGGGCAACCACTAAAGTTCATCGTATCCCTTCCACTTGATAAGATACTCGCGAACACGTTTAGCATTCCGGGTGCGCTTCGTCCATCCCAAATCCACGATCTTACCCACTTCGTACTCCTGGTGTACCGAATCTGGTTCCCAGCTATCCTCCGGCAATAGTCCCGCATCAAAGTCATCATCCTCTGAAACGTCAATCCTTACAGATGTCCGTTTTGGAAACAAGGCACGTGGTTTCAGACGACTGATGTGAGCCCATGGCTCTACAGGGGTGCCAGTGCCCTGAACCTTCAATTTCACGTTGAAATCGTCCCGGACCCGTTCAATCCTGAATGGCCCATATCACAAATGAGCCAATTTACGACTCAGACCTGGCAGGACCTTCGGGATATATAGCCAGACCGAGTTACCTGGTTCGAAACCAGACTTGAGATGATCCGATAACGCCTTCCACTTCTTAGTGTGAACCGCGGACCGCGTACGCTTAGTCTTCCTCTGGAGTTCTTCCGCGCAGGCATGGGCATAGCTGTAGACTCGCTGCCATTTTCAGCGCCATTCGTAAGCGGTACGTTCTGCGACATCCGTCGGTTTTGGACCCAGCATAGCTGCTATAGTACTCCAACAATCGAACCCGTGTAATAGGTAGAACGGCGTATCCAATCAAGTCGCATCGAAGGAGGTATTTATACATGCATGAGCTTCTCTGCGTGGTCGTCCCAATCGGTTTTATCGGGTTCTTCAACATACGCTCTGATACTGTGCATAATTATCGGACCCGACCGTTCCTGTTGGTCATTGGCCTGGAGGCGATACGCAAGCGTTGCTTTCTGCTGGATACCCATCATCTCACTGAAACGACGGAACTCCCGACACATCTCTGTCGTGACGAATATCAGAGCTTGCACCATAGTTCCTAAGAACAACTTCCTCATCGGCTTCGGCGCAGTCCTGAGCTGCGGTACTATTCATGGGGTTTGCACATAACGTAGCCCGTTAACATGTCCTGAAACAAAAGTAGGTAGGTATTCCCACGTTCCGACATCGGAAGGTGTGTGCCAAAATACATGGACACTACTCCGAATGGACCGGTCGGTTCAATATTTCCGGATGAGAGTGCTGGATTCGGTGGTCGCCCCTAAGCGGACGCGCAATCCGTACATTCTTTGGCAAACATTTCAACGTCTTGGGACATCCCGGTCCAGAAAAATCTGAGCGCAGACGCTCATATGTCCTGGTGATGCCGTGGTGGCCACTCTGGAAATACTCGTGAGCGTGGTGTAGGATGTCGGGTCGCAAGGTTTCTGATACAACTAGGCGAATTTCAGAACGCTTGTACCTAGGACGGCGCAGCCAAACGATAAAGAACGTCTCTTGAGTCTAAAACATATCGGTTCGAACCCTTCGCGATTTTCTTGACTTTCTTCCGCGTATAGTTCAATAGGTCACCCTTCAAATAATCCTTGAGCCTTTTTAACTCTGAATCCCCATCCTGATGAACTTTAATCCGTCTCCAACGTTCGTCTCGGTAGTCAAGTGGTCGGCTCGGGTCATCCACTTGGTCAACTTGTCTGAACGACTTTGGGTTGTAACCGTCTTCACGGGTGCTGCTGTCTCAGACGCGTTTGGAACAGGGTCTGAAACGAGGTCATTTGGATGATCGCCCTTCGGACGCTGACTTGCGTCGTCCTTTCGTTCCGAGGATTCCGGAGTCTTCATCATCTTCTCCGGGATTCTGGAGACAAACTTCAGATGCATTAGTTCATTCGCATCCTCCACCACCCATGCTTTCCTGGATGCTAACGTCTTCGTCGTTAAGTAGTCTGCTGCCTGGTTGTAGTCACGCTTGACGTGGACCAACCGTACGGAGTCGAATTTCACCTTCAAGGCTTCATACTCAGCGAGGCGACGTTGCAGATTAGGCTGGTGGCAACCTATCAATCCTTGCGCTTGTTCGATGACGATTCTAGAATTGCCGACCACAACGACATCTCTGAAACCGCGGTTGACGGCTAGCTCCAAGCCTTTAATCAATCCGTGGTACTCTGCATCGTTCACAGTCACATCATCTAGAGGGAATCCGTGGGCGCTTAGGACATGCTAACCGGGTAGACGCCACAGAATACATCCACAACTTCCCTGTCTGGTGGAGACCTTGGCTGCACCATCGAAGCTCAGAACATATCCTTCGAAGTCTGAATCCAACATCTCTACACGGATTGGCGGCGGTGCTTTGATTCGCCCCTTGGCCGGGATCAGATTTTCGGCGACTTCGTCTGAATATTCCCTGGGGGTAATAGCCGCGCCGAGGATGGCAGCTAGTCCGTCTTCATCGCGCCGCACACGGTGTAGTTCCAGAGTCCACTTCGACAATTCTAGACCCAACTTTAGGTGACGGCCGTCGGCGGAATTTGACTTCAGTAGCCACTTCAGGACCGAGTACCGAGTATAGATCATAATCGGTATCTCTGAACCGTAGATGAGCTGGCGGAATTACTCTAGGACTGGCAGGATTGTCAACACCTCCTTCTCTGCGATGTGGTATCTGAGTTCGGACTCGTTCAGAACGAGCCCAGTGAAACGCACTGGTTAAACGATCCGCTCATGCTCCTGCCCCAAGACAGCACAGGCCGCCCAAGGGTTTGCATGTGGGATGATGATAAACGGCTTGGTACAATCTGGGTGGCGCAGCAGCGGAGTCGACGTAATGTTACGTTTCAGAATCTCGAACGCTTCCTTGGCCCTATCCAAATCATGTACGGCGCGAATACGGTCCTCATCCAGCTCGTAGAGCACAGCCGCAACCACAGGTAAATCTACGAAAAACTTGTTATAGTAATTCAGGCTTCCTAAGAACGATTGAACGTCCTTCAGAGTCGATGGGAAAGGTAGATCCTAAACACTCTTGGCGATCTTCAGGGTAGCTCTGATACCTTCGGCACAGACTTCGTGGGATAGATACGGTATAGCTTGTTTACCGAACTCACTTTTCGGGAGGCTAACCGAGATATTCCAATATCGGAGTCGGAACAGCAGAGCATTCAGGTCTTCATAAAGTTGATCACAGGTAGGCGCCCCATGAGCTATGTCATCTATGTAGGAGCTTTGTCCCAGGACCGGTCCCATCTGCGTCGGTGTCGTAATGTTTCGCCCGAATGCAGTCGTCTCCTCCATCAGTTCCGGAATTCTGAAACTACCTTCTTCCTGAGGATTCTCGGTTGTCGGTCCTGTGTCTGAGACAGTCAACTCCAAAATTCCAGGACATCTCGATCGACCTTAGCCTCCTCCTCAGGTGGGAGCCGCACGAATCCCCAGAGACAGTTGTTAATCACACTCCGATACACTAACGGCGCGTTCTTGAGTCCAAAAGGCAACCGGATCCACTGGAAATGTCCGAATGGGCAGACAAAGGCCGAAATCAGCTTCGCCGGTTCTGTCATCTGAATCGCCCAAAAACCGTTCGCCATGTCTAGACTCATGAGCCATGGTGCAGCATTAAAATCAGTCAGCAAAACGTCAATCAGAGGTAGGGGCTACCGTGGTAGCTTGATCAACTGGTTAACCAACCTATAATCCACACACATTCTGATATCCTCTCCATTCTTCTTCAAACCGATCACGATCGGAGATGACCACTCCGATTCAGAGTGTGTAATAAGTCCAGTTTCTAAGCGCTTCTTCAGCAGTTCGTAAACTTTGACCAAATATCTGGTTGTGATCTGTCGAGCACTTGCTCAGCGTGCTTCCGACCTAGGTGGCTCCTGAGTTCACCACTGTCCGCGCTGTTGGTATCTAGAGTTGGTTAGGCTTGCCCAGCGTGCT